TTTTTTTATTTTTTACCATTGCTCCGGATCTTTTCCAGATGTTGAAACTCCTCCTCAGTTTCTCCAATTCTTCTGAGTGTGTTCACTGTATAAATTAATATGGATTAATCTTTGTCAAAGCTGTGTTTGTTCTGTTGTTTGCTCTTTGCTCTTCTTGCGCTGTTTTAAAATCGACTGAGTTTGTAAACACATACAAATTATAAAACTTTTACTCTATTAAATTTTGCAATTAATCCTCTGAACACATGCGCGCTGAACCGTGGGCCTAGTCACGGATCACTATCAACTACAATCTGCTCCCTTCACTAAAATGTCATGGTTCCTATACATGATAACAAATAATATAGATAAATAATGAACACATGTCAAAACGAAAACACAGATACTTACAAGACCAAGTAGGAATGGCCTTTATCGTTTGTTGTTTGCCCGCTGCTCTCTGACAAGTAAACTTAGTGCTCTCTCTGTGTAAAAAAATTTTCAAAACACAACACTTATCTCTAACTCTCATGTCTCGCGTTGCCAGTAGTCATGTCTCATGTAGGGCTACAATTGCCATCTAGCGGTTGGGAATTGTAATTGCATTTTTATTTATAAAATGAAAGACAGCCGAATATCAATAATATCATATCACGTGTATGAATGTAACATTTAGCTTGTGGGATGCATGGCATCATATTATCAAATGTAAGTAAAGAGGAAAATATTCTAACAAGATTAAGGGTTGGGCATACTATGCTGAATAAAACCTTAAAAATAATAAATAAACATCCAACAGGATTATGTGAGCACTGTGGAATGGAGGAATCAGTAGAACATGTTATTTGTGTTTGTCAAAAGTATACTAATGAACGAGAAACAATGAAGAATGAACTTAGAAAGATGGGAGTGGATAACCTAAAGCTTAAAAATATATTTACTTATGGACTAGAAAGTTTATTTTTGTATCTTAAGAGAACAGAGCTGATTAAGAGAATTTAGTGGGAAAAATCTTCTTGAGGTAAATAAGTAGACATTTTATTTTTAATTTTATGTAGTGAAATTTATTTTTTTATTTTTTGTCCTCTTATTATGAAAGGGTAAACTCTGGTTCACACTCCAATACAGTAGGTGGCGATAATGCACCTTAACATTGGTGCTACCCGCCATAAACCCGAAGAAGAAGAAGATTGGTTGACAGATTCAACCAATGAAATCGGATCAGAGGCGGGGTCAAGACATTTGGAAATTTTGAGGGAATCTACAGAGATACGTTATCGACTGTTCGTCGGAGATCGCATTTATTGTAAGGCAAGTGAATTTACGATATATTTTATTAATATAAAGCTAAAAATATTAATCTAAAAATCACACATAAACAGCCTCCGAAGTTTACTAAGATAATTGGGGAACATTGAAAATGCACAAAACTAATAATCATCGTCTAAATATTCGATCGTATGCATTTTGATTCGACTGCTTCAGTTCACCGCACCAAAGCTGCTAATGAGATAACCAGGGTAAAACATGCTTTTCCAGTGCTAATTTACCCAGCTGTCTGTGAAGCCGATATATGCGATCACATAACTCGTTCAAGCCTCCACAACATTTCATCAGTCAAAATTATACATCTCCCGCCCTAGCGCTGCGAGCAGGAGTACTCAGTTTCATATCGCTGTTATTTTTAGTGTACTATGTGCTGCTCTCAGGGTAGGAGCATTCAATATTCATATTACTGTTATTTTTAGTGTACTATGTGTTGCTCTCAGGGCAGTACTCAATATTCATATTACTGTTATTTTACTAAACTATGCGCTGCTCAGAAGGCAGGAGTACTCAATAATTATATCGCTGTTATTTTACTAAACTATGTGCTGCTCTCAGGGCAGGAGTACTCAATATTCATATTACTGTTATTTTTAATGTTTTAGTCTGATAGTTTTAGTCTAGTAAATTTATGCATATTTTTAAGTGTATTAAAAAAAAAATTTCAATCATTACATTTATAAATCAGTGTACAATGTCTGTATTATTGATTGATCTTTTATTTTATTCTTCAGTTACCTGGAGGAGCTGGCAGAAACTGGACAAATCAAAGGAGCTAACACTGAAGAGGCATCTGATGCTGCCAAGTCCAAATTGGTGCAAAAATGGAGATGTATGAAAAATGGTGTATGTTTGGTTCCACCTGATAAAAGCACATAATAGCCAGATTCGGAGGGTAATTGGTTCTCATGGTGACGTAAGCGATTTTCAACATTTACAGGGGTTAGTCTGTGATTTTATTGCCATCTGAATCCAGAATGTCAGTGTTTTTCTCCCACCATCCCCATAAAAATCCCCGGCCGAATTACCAAGGTCATGTGGTCATTTAATTGCTGTCCAAATCCACATCTCTGAGAATAAATAGTTTAAAAATTAACTTTTTAAATACTTTTTGACCTCCGTTTAACACCATATACTAACTGTTGTACTTTGCACGCATATTACTGAAAAAAAAAAGTACTGAAATGCTAGAAAGTATTTACAAGAACAATATTTCATAACTGCTCCACCACAGCGATTGGGTGCTGTTAAGAACAAAAAGACCAGAAAAGCACGTAAACATTTGAAATGGGTCATTATTATGGCAGTAACAGGTATGCAATACAATTTTAAATAGTCCTACAATTACGTACATAAAATTGTACACCAAGCAGCTTTGTTTGACTCGTGTAAATAAGAGGTTGCATTTAATAATTAATGCTAATCTCCACATTTTTAATGACACCCATTATTTTGAGAGATAAAATTTAAAGGGGTCATATGATGCTTTTTTAAATATCATTATTTTGTGTATTTGGTGTAACAGAATATGTTGACATGTTTTAATGTTCAAAAAACACATTATTTTTCAAATACTGTACATTATTGTAGGTCCTCTATGCCCCGCCTCTCTCAAACGCTTCGTTTTCTACAAAGTCCCTCCTTCCGACAAGCGCAGTCTGCTCTGATTGGCTAGCTGACCCAGTGCATCATGATTGGCCGAACACCGCAAGCACTCGTCGGAAATGTAACGCCCCTTACCATAATCGCAGCTTCAGCTTTCAAAATAAATGTAAAGACAGAGCCCGAAAGGGGAACAGAGTCGCGTGACAGACACAGTGATGAAGCTGGTATGTGTTTGCAGTACACAAGCCACGGTTAAGACAGCTGACTCCATTTTGATGTGACGCTCTCTCGCTTTCTCTCTCTCTCTCTCTCTCTCTCTCTCTCACACACACACACACGATGCGCAAAACTCCGCATTTAAACAGTCAATAGCAAATACTTAAACTAATAACAAAACAGTAGCTGATTCAGAAGCGCCAGATTGTCATAGCAAAGTCAGAATTACCTCCTCTCCTAGGTTCACGAAATGGTCGTCCATAAAATGCATTGCTGTTCTGTTGTAAGTAATCTTAAAGATTCCTAAATGCATCTACTTTCGGAAGGCCAAATAAAGTGCTTTTGCTTTCGCCTAGAAACACACAGCGTCTCCCTGACATGGCTGCTTCAACACTAACTGCGGTTACTGAAACCACGCCTTCTTTCTTTGCCTGCACATTTGGGCGGCATTATGCAGATATTTCCACAGTGAGGTAGATATGTGGGGGTGTGTTAGAACGAGCCGTTTTAGGGGGGCGTGGCAGAGTTAACTTTGATAAAGAATATCTCTTTGGTTTTGAGACTTTAGTCTTTGCAACTTCAGGGATCTTATCTATGCACAATCAGCTTGTAACACTCCAAAGAGAAAGGAAAACTTGAAATCGCATCATATGACCCCTTTAAGAAAACCATTTCAGCTATATTGGGTCTATTTTCCTATTTTTAAACCAGAGATTTAAATAAATAATATATTATTACATTTAAATTTATTATTCCAAGCGTATGACATTTTATTTACAGCAGACAACCATGCAACTGGCCATGTCAGCAGTGTGTTCCTAGGTTCATAATGATCACACATCTTTCTTCTCCACTGTGAATAAATCATCAAATCCATGAGTTATCACTGAGGTGCCATGTAAATAAAGTTTTACATATGTTCACATGAGTAACAATTACCGTCTGAATAGGACTTCTCTCACAGAGTCGACTTGGTGATACATAAATGTGATTGCAAAAGATCCTGGTGTCAATCTGTAACCACTTAATGTTCTCATAGTCTATTGCAGAGAAATTAAGACTTGTAATTAAAAAAACAACCAAAATGTTTTTTTTTATTGTGCTGTAAATGTTGTTTCATTCAATGTCTGTTGTACAGATTGTTTGTGTAAGAACAAAATTAAATGTTGATTGAAAATAATCAAGTATAATTATGACTTCTTTCCTTTTTTATACAATTACGAACAAATCCAGTGAATTAAATGCATGTACAATACACAGGAAGTTTTCGCAGCAAAAGGTAGATGTATCATTAAACTGCTGTAGTTTGAACGTGCTCCCTTTAAACCAGGCCCTAGGTCGCCCTGCCAGATATCTTCTCAAAGTCTCCAGAAATATTTGCAATGTCTTCCTGCATTTGAAATGCATAAAGAGTCTGGTTTCAATTTACACTGATAGTCATGAAAAAATAAGTTTAAAAAATTGAAAACAAAAAATGTATTTTACCTGAAGGCTTTAGTTTTGGATATTGAATCATGAACATCCTTATTTTCATATATTTCCTGGACCACTTTCTTTTGTGGAGCAAACTTGCACACCAGGAACATTACATCACTGACCAGCTCACTGCACAGCATCTGAAATGTAGCAATTTAACAAACATAATTACTAGTAAAATCATAAGATCAAAAGATAAAAATCACATTTCAACTCCCTCAAAATGGACAATTTCTTAATGACACGTAATACATCCTTAAACCATACCATTTCTAGAGCCTACTGTACTCTGGCCTCAGCTACAACTACAGTGACTGAGGGCAGATTAGAGTAGACGTTTGAGGGACAGCTGATGAAGTCCATAGGCTGGCATTATGCAAACAAACCTAACAGGTAATTAGTAACAGGAAGTGAGACTGGAGTTTCCGACACTCATTTCAGCACAATAGTTCAGAATCGATTCTTACTTTTAGGAGACAAAACTTTATTTGTTGTGCAATTTGATCTTTAAATATTTGCATACCTTTTTACATTTACAAACAGCTATATTGCAATTCATGAAAGGTAATATTTGGGGAAAAAAATAATATGGGCACTTCAAATATCAACAAGATTCTCAACTAAATCTAGAGGAGTTTACAAAGAAAGTCCAGAGATTCCCTTTCTCCAAGAATGGACCAGTGATGGCTTCTGCTTTTTCCAAGAATGTTATTCTGCAAAGAGAAGAAAAACTATATGAAACAGTCACAGCTGAAAACAAAAAACAAATGTATGGGTAAAGAGCATTATTATTATTATTATTATTTCCAGGCAAGTTACTGTATATTCAATAAATCAATTATAATAATTTTTTTCTTAGACTCCTGCCCAGAGAGCAGCGCATAGTTCAGTAAAAATAACAGCGATATGAAACTATTGAATGCTCCTGCTCTGAGGGAGAACAGCACATAGTACACTAAAAATAACAGCGATATGAAACTATTGAGTGCTCCTGCCCGGAGAACAGCACATAGTACACTAAAAATAACAGCGATATGAAACTACTGAATGCTTCTACTCAGAACATGTTTGAGTAAGTAAAACTCCCATCTGCGCCAGGAAGACGTCACTTGCGTCATTTCGGCTCAGCATCGTCCTCGTGCGTGGCAGCAGGAATGGTACTTTGATGCACAAACAGACAAATATAGAGACTTAATATAGATACATACACTTGACATGTGTTGATACTAAAATTTGACCTGGGGTTTCGTAAAGAAAATACCGTATTCAATTACCACTCCCTTTCGAAAATAACCATGTTTTTTATAGTAAAAGTGTAGTAACCATGTTTTATGGCTTATTAATTACCACTGGCTGGTAGAGCATTTATGTAGAAATGTAGATCTTATATCTGCTTACACCACTGAACGGACGCTACATTCAGTAATTCAAACTGTTAATATCTCTGAGAATTAACATTGTAATTCTTGTTGTCTTTTAATGAAGTGTTGATGGATGCTATATTGGATAGGCTCCATTCGCGACTGTCCCATCTGCTTAATCGACCACCAATTGATTTTGACTTTTTGGAGTTTACCTGTACCCAGGAGTGAGTTTTTTTAAATGCACTCTCAAGTCAGGAAATTTTCCACATGCTGTAATGGAGGGACTCAGAGAGGTTAATCAGATTATTGGTGAGATTAACCACAGCCAACAGTGTACTCACAACACTGTTAACTTTGAATATGGCCAGGTTGGGTGGCCAAAAGTACTGTTACCAGAAGAACGTCTTAGGGATCTAATTGCCATGTCTCTACCATTGCCCTGCATTGCAAAATTGCTTGGAGTGAGCACAAGGACCATACAACGGAGAATGTCAGAAATAGGGTTGGCAGTAAGAGACACATACAGTAGTGTTTTGGATGAGGAGCTGGATGCATTAGTGTCAACAGTTAAATCCAGACACCCTTATGCTGGATATAGGATGGTGAAGGGTTTGCTGCAGGCTATGGGGCATAGAGTGCAGTGGGAAAGGATCTGGGCATCCATGCACCGAGTAGATAGTGCAGGCATTATTTCTAGGCTGACACAGTTAGGGTGTGTTGTTTGTAGGACATATTCTGTGCCCAGCCCAGGAGCATTGATGCACATTGATACCAACCACAAGCTCATACGGTATGCATATGCTCATCCTGAAACTGTAACAGAAATGTTATTATCTGACCTTTGATTTTCATTGTTTTAACTTTATATCAATTTCTCTAAAAAAAGATACAACATTGTGATCTTCGGGGGTATCGATGGCTTTTCTAGAAAGGTATTTAAGTATATTTTACTACCCAACTTCCTAAAAATGTCAGGGTCTTTAAATGTAACCCTGTCTAATTATGGGAGCAAATAAAGTAGTCATAGTCAAAAAATGACAAAAGTAGGTAATTTGTGTTTATAGCTGTAAATTAAATATTATATGATAGATTTCAATATAGAACTGTCAAATTCACTGAAATTATATACAATTTATTGACTCTACATTTTATTAATTTGCACAGAAAATACCAGACATTGGCTTCCTAAACAATCATTTCAATCTGTTTTACTAAGTCAGTATTAAAGATATCAAAATTACATTGTCACAGAATGTACTCAGAATAATTGTATGTAGAATATATTCAATCACAAAAAAAGACTTTAGCTGGGTTCACCCAGGCAGGGTTTCACATTTCATATTGTATTGATATCACAATCACACACACTCTAGACTGAAACTGCCTATTTTTTGTATGCTACACAGATCATGTACCTAGATGTTGCAACCAATAATCTGGCTTCAACCACCCTGTACTTTTTCCAGCGTCCTGTTCAAAAATGTGGTCTTCCACTTCGGTAAATATTGCCTATAATTAATTTGCTTATGTGTTAGAGCAGGGTACCAGAGCCTGCACTAATATATTATCCTGAACACATACATCCACTGGTTCAACTTTGTTTTACTAGTGGAGGATAAACTAGTCTGTTGACTAACAGGCTTTGACATGCCTGTGTGAGAGTGTACTGATGTCTTTCAGATTGACAATCACATACTTTATATTTTATTAGAAGTAAAATTGGTATTTGTACTAGTGTAAAGGAATGGTTGTTGTAAAATAGCCACATTTAAAATGTTCTATCTACATAATTTTGTTTTAGGGTCAGGGGTTGAAAATGTAGAAGTGCCCCGTATAGGGATATGCCGGTATCAAATTTTCATGTTGCGATTAATTGCTAATGCTTTTATCACGGTATACAGTGTTATCGCGATATTTAAATGTAGTTTTAAAAAAGTGCTCTCATAATACAGTATAACAGGTTTATCTGTGATGAATATCATAGCAAATACACAATTCTAATGGCTGTTTAAATAATTTAAACACGATTCAGAAACATACACAGAAAGTAGTGCACAGATACACAGAAAGTAGTGCAGCTGCTTTATTTACAGGGTTTCCGGGGTAATGGCTGACAACCAAAGGTGAGACTCTGTTACACTTAACCAGTGGTTCTCAAACTGGGGGTCGTGGTTTCTGGGGAAGAGCAAAGGGACAACATCTGGACGTTCTTGCAGCAGTGACCAAACTTTTGTGTCTTTTAAACCACGTCTGAATTGTTTCATTTTACGAATGGTCCTTCCGAGGACCTGTAAAACATCAACAATAGATAATCAAGTAAATATTAATATTTGGATATTTATGCTTTTTAAACTACTCTTAAAGAGAGTAGGCCTACATACAAATAATCACACTTCTGTAAACTTTATACACTACTTTAAAAGATAGAATACAATAAATGAACTAGAATAAACTAAACATTTTATGAATGATGTATTTAAATTGTTTAGAAAAAAAAATTGCTTTTAAAATTGTGGAGAACAACAGGAAGAAAAAAAATTACGGCATGATGCAGGAGTCGGTTGAACAGCCAATGTCTATTGTTGTTTGTGACACCTGGGAGGTCCCATGACAGAGCCAAGTCTAGGACGGCCTTCTTGTCCTGATCTGAAAGTTTATCATCTCCCTCAAGCTGTTGGAAACAGTTTTATTTTGAAATAAAAATAAATAAATCATACAAATGACATGCAAGTGACTTAAAAGAAAACATCTGCATACCAACTGTATAGTTGCACGATGGTCTAGGTCTGGGCAGTCTTGTAGCTGAATTGTGGCTGTTTCAGCTGGCTGCCCAAGTAAAACATGTATCACTGCAGGACTGATCCCTGACAAACAAGGACCACCATGGATGAAGGAGTGACCAACCATCCTCCCAGCCATCAGGAACATGTCACTTTCCACAAGAATTTGGGATGTAGAGGGCACAAGATGATCTGACTCACCCTCAAATAACAAGGTTGTGTCTGTGTTACCTGAAGAAAGCATTGAAATTCAGTATTTTCCTCACACAAGAACTATACCTGAATTGGCAATTTAGAAATGTTCACTTATAAAATTGATACAACAAAACATTCATATTGATTTGTTATATTTTTGTGTGCATGTCTACATTGTCATTGGAATCAAACATTAGTGACACTGCCTTTGAAAACACAAGTTTTTATGATATATCACTTTCTATATACAATAATCCTACATACCATGAAGAACATTCTGTGAAAACATACCTTGATATCTTTAATATTGACTGAGTAAGACCATGTCAAAGATCGAAATCATAGTGAAATTAATGAAAATCAAATTCTGATGCTCGTATCACATAATTAGATTACGAGACGTTAGCCTGTATTTCACAGACAGTGTCAAATATAACACATCTTACCAAAGTTTATCCTGAAGCCTTGTGTCAGTTTTAGGACTGCAGTACTAAGAATGTGACGGCTCACCCCTTCACCTGTGGTGGCATCACCTTAAACATGACAGTAAGGGGTTAGTTTACCCACAAATAATTAAAAATATTCTCTATTGCATTATATTTTTAAACCTTTAAAGCATTCTATATTTTTAATCCTTTAAAGTCCCACTAAATTGCCTTTTGAATTTCATTTGAATTTTTTGTTTGAATGGATAGGAAATTTGATAAGAAGAAATTTTATTGGTGGAAGTGAGACTGTTTTGAATCACACTAGCTTTTAAATAACCTTAAGGCTAACATACCAATACTAAAAACCACAAAACTTTTATTTTTATTTCATGGAGACTACAAAGGCAATGCTTTTTCAGTGAACATACCAGGCATCACATAAATTAATATTGTGCACTACATTTTTTGGATAGTGTGATATGTACAGATTAGAGACAATTACAGAGATAAAATATGGCAGATAACACTAAGCACTGCATTTGTTTTTATAAGTTTATATTTGCCAGTGTTACAAGTACAATGTAATGACCCGAGCTATAGAAAAAAATATATTAGGGCCTACCTCTGAGCATACAGGAAAATGGCCTAGCCCAATTGACATTTGGTCGCTTGTACAAAGAAATTATCTCTCTATCCTGCTCCTCCAGGTCTTCCCTGAGATCCAAGGTGAAATCCTCATCCACCACCTCTCCTGTTGAATGGCCCGGCTACAGCATCCAGGCCACATTCTCGCCTGTTGGATGGTCCGGCTACAGCATCCTCTTTCCACTCTGAAAACATTTCCATTTCTGCAGAGCAACTTAAAAATAAACAGATAGTAAAGTGTTTGTACAACTCAACATTTTTTCTGCACTGTACTGAAAAGAAAAGTAAAGCATGTATGTGTAAACTGATGTTAAACATACTTATCTACACAGATACTAGCGTGAAATTCAACCATGTCTTCAGGAAAAGACCTTCCACAAACTGGACATAGTTCCTATAACAAGCAAATCCAATGTGCTCTAAATGTGTTCAAAATAATAACATTATTATACTTTTAAATGCTTTGTTTTAACAAACCATGTTGGGTTTGTTCTTTTTTTCCTCACTGACATAAATGATGTCGTCATCTTGACTTTCTTCCTGTTTTAAGAAAAAAAATATATAATGGGAAAATGTGCCTAAAGAATAGTCAATTATCAGCAATTCTATACCTTTAAACAAAAAAACGTACAGATGCATTCTCTGACTCTAATGCATAATTTTCAATGTGCAAAGCCAAAACTTGAAGTGGCATCATTACTCCACATTTTTTACAAATAGATTTGGGCATCTTCTCAAATTCAGCTGCTTGTGGGGTAGTGGCGAAGTGTCGATCGTGTCTTGTAGCGGTACAATGTAGAGTGTGATCTTGCCATTGTTAGATGCTGTTTTTAAAGAATTTGCTGTGTAGCCCTCTGACTCAGGTGGCACCACAGTCAGTTTTCTCTGGCCACACCCACCTTGTTTTTAAAGAAAATAGACTATTTTTACATTGACTTATTCTGATTAACAACATTCTAATGAAAAACATGAAAACACAATTAATGCATTGTGAAATACTGACAACATGCTGCTTTTATTGTTGAGTAACACTTTGTCACTGCATTATAACACTTTAAGTAGCTGAAGGATAGCTAAACGTGCTATTACAATTACTAACAAAATGCAATGAAGCTTATCAACCAACAAATTTCCATACCTGCAGCTTTATAGCAAAGCCAACCACCAGACAGCTGCTTCATTTTGTGAAACTCCTCTTCAAGGACACTGACAATCTAAATTAAGAATGAAAAGGAAGAATAAGGAATTCAGCTTAAAACAGCTAAAACAGATCAGTGAAAACAGTGAATGTACACACATTTTGACGTGCAATTTCAGTTTTGTGTAATGTGATCATCGTGGATTATTATGTGTAAAATTGCAAAAATATCATTCATTCAATGATCGTGAAGTCTCTATATTTGTCTGTTTGTGCATTAAAGTACCACTCCTGCTGCCGCGAGGACGATGCTGAGCCGAAATGACGCAAGTGACGTCTTCCTGGCGCGTTATTGAGCCAATCAGATAATAGAAAACAAAGAGTCAACAAGAATCTCACAACGAGTAACTTTAACCGTTGTTCATGTGAACTCAAAGACAGCCCAGAGAATCTTGCCCATTTCCAGCACTTTGTTAAAATATTGTTTTAGGTAACGTATTGTTGGGAAGAGCACTGCATGATTCTGAGACCTAATTGGTATAACAGTTTTAATTACTGAATGTAGCGTCAGTTCAGTGGTGTAAGCAGATATGATCTACATTTCAACATAAATGGTATACCAGCCCTTATGGTTTTACTACAGTTAAGCCAATGGTAATCAATAAGCCATAAAACATGGTTAAATGATCGTGAAGTCTCTATATTTGTCTGTTTGTGCATTAAAGTACCACTCCTGCTGCCGCGAGGACGATGCTGAGCCGAAATGACGCAAGTGACGTCTTCCTGGCGCGTTATTGAGCCAATCAGATAATAGAAAACAGAGTCAACAAGAATCTTGTTTGATTGGTTACAAGAAATAAGTCCCGCCTTCTATTGGGATGATATTAGACTCTAAATGATTAATAGATGCACTCACAATTATCCATGTACTGCATACATTTTATACATGTATCTTACTAACCACAAACACATACCTTTCAATT